AAAAGCACTACTGACCTGTAGACCACAACTGACCTGAAAAGCACTACTGACCTGAAAAGCACTACTGACCTGAAAAGCACTACTGACCTGTAGAACACTACTGACCTGAAAAGCACTACTCACCTGTAGACCACTACTCACCTGTAGACCACTACTGACCTGTAGACCACTACTGACCTGAAAAGCACTACTGACCTGTAGACCACTACTGACCTGAAAAGCACTACTGACCTGTAGACCACAACTGACCTGAAAAGCACTACTGACCTGAAAAGCACTACTGACCTGTAGACCACTACTGACCTGAAAAGCACTACTGACCTGAAAAGCACTACTGACCTGAAAAGCACTACTGACCTGAAAAGCACTACTGACCTGTAGAACACTACTGACCTGAAAAGCACTACTCACCTGTAGACCACTACTCACCTGTAGACCACTACTGACCTGTAGACCACTACTGACCTGAAAAGCACTACTGACCTGTAGACCACTACTGACCTGTAGACCACTACTGACCTGTAGACCACTACTGACCTGTAGAAATCGAACGCGGTTCTACTGTGTGAAATTCCTGGGGTTGTTAAAAACGTAAACATGGGCTTCTTTTAGCGACTCCGCTCTTGCTGTAGGGTCAAAATGAACATGCTGTCCATGGCGAGCAGTTTTTCTTTACTTTTACCATCTGGTAAAACAGTTATAATTCATTAAATATTACTAATGTTGCATAGTTACCAAAGTGAATTTACAAGTTCTAAATATTTTTGGGGGGCATTTTTCTCATGATATTGTACAAAGACTAAAATAATCCGTTGTTTTTCTGAAGTGTAAGAAAAAGTGTGTCAAACTGCAGAAAAATCTGTTCCAAATCATACTACAATAAAAGTACTTTATATGTAAAAGTCATAAATTGAAAATAAAAGGTAAAAAACTAAATTTCCAATCATGGAAACTTTTCAGCGGTCGCACCCCATGATTTTTTCTAATTTAGTCAAAATTTACAGGCAGAGAATAGGCCACCTAAACAAAACAGGCTAGCTTCTTACAAAAGGACTCCATGAAATTTATAATCAAAACAAATATTGGTAGAAATAACTTTATATTAATTGTTTTTCTGAGGTCATACCACATGATGACAATTTTACATTTTTCCTGATTTGAGAGAGAGTTACAAACCTACTTGCTGTTTCAGTGGGTCCTTGGCAAATTGGTATATTATTCAACTTCCTGTCTTCTAATGGATTTCAACATAAGAGTCCCAAAGTGGTTGTTTGTTGATGGTCGCGCTGCATGATATTTCATAAAATGGATCTCATCGGACAAAGTTTGCTTGTGTATTATTATGGAAATATAAATACAGATACTTTGCGATTTTGAAAAGGACGACAAAACACTTTGGAAATCATGCCAAATAAGGCAAAACACAATTTTGAATAGATTGAAAGTAATTTCAAAGAAGTTTTCAAAACAGCATTCATGGCCGGACGACACTTCAATTATCAGAAAAAATAAAAACAGCTTATGTTTTTTTTAAAGTTAAAGGTGAGTACATATATGGGAGAGGTCCTGTATTGATACGGTATGTATTTATAGGTTTATGCTTTTAACCTTTTTTTTTTGTGAAAAAAATCCAGTTGGACACAAAATGTAGGCGTCAAGTCATTGACCCATTTATCAACATTCTTGTTTCTCTTTGCAGGAGAGCTTTATTTTAGGGTGGCTTCAGCCAGTCAATACAACGTCAACGCCTTCACTCACTTCAGCCGCTTCTACCTGCAATCTCGTTCTTTCGGTTACTGTTCCAGACTTTTTTTATTATAAAAGTTGCTGTATTACTTTACAGTATAAAGATATAAAAATTGGACACATAAAAAGTAGTAAAGTAAATAACAATAACAAAAACAACATTTAGAGGTTGTAGTTTTGGTTTCATTTTTCAAAATATTATTACAATATAATTTGATGTCAGTAAGAGACTTTTCTATTTTATCACTTGTTATACCAACAAAATGTTATTTTAACCCAATTAATGGCCACAAAAACATTAATTTTGACCAAAAATAAAAAAGAGTTTATTAACATCCAATTTAGAAAGAACTGTATGTAGACTATTAAAACATACAGTTGGCTATATTTGGAATTACTAGTATAATACTATCAACCAAACGTTACATTGAAAGGAAATTTGCCTGAATTTCTAAATGTTTGCATCTGTCCAGCTCAGTGCACCAGTTAAAGCTTTTCCTGCTTAACACAGCTTGGATAACAGCTCATGTTTGTTAATGGAACAAATGCAGAGCAGATAACAGATGAGTCGTAATAAAGGGAAAAATGGAAAATTAGCAAAATTAAGAATAAACTATGCACAAAAAGTAATGAAATTTGTGTTTGGTACATTAATTCTTTGTTGTAACTATGCTTCTTGGCAATAAATCTTAAGAGTCCCCTTAGGGTTAGAGTCCCTAAGTGTTAATCAGAATCAGTTTTTATTGAACAAAAAAGAATATAGACATATTGACAAATAGTGCAGTGATCAGAGTCCAAAGGATACAGGAGTAAAATTATTATTATTATTATTTACATGTCGGAGGTGGATGTGATATACAGGTACACATACATGCGTACATGTAGACATTTACAAAGTGCGATGGAGCACAGTGCAAAGGATGCTGGAATAAATAAGTATTATTGTGCAGGAGTTTGTACTTGAGGTAGGTGGATTCGGTAAACAGTATATACAATATGAAAATATAACAGTGTGAACAATATGAACAGCTCTGAAATAGAGGATGATAAAGCTTTACTCCCCAACACTGGTTACCACTTATTTTCTCATTCATAATACTATTTCTTATTTATCATTCGTTACTAGTGATGCGTTACTGTAATAATATTACTTTTCACAGTAACTGTGTAACTAATTATTTTTCTAGAACAGTAATATAATTACTAGTTACTAAAGTAAGTAACGCTGCATTACTCGTTACTGAAAGCACCATCCTTGACTGTGCAGCAGCTCAGCGGTACCGGACTTTGCCGTTCATGTCAGCTGATAGCCAAAAACGAAAGATAGAGAGGAGAACGAGGGAGAGAGGCGTTCTTTCCACAGCTGGAAGTAGCTGCTGCCATTATTGTGTGACAGTCTAAGATGCAAAGAACATTGTCGTCTGTTGTAAACTGTGTGCAATCAGCAAAAACTGGGAACAATTCTACATCTGATTTATTGAAGCATCTGCTGAAGCAACACAGCCACCTGACACTTACAGAATGAAACTCTGGCAGCTGCTGTCACTGATGCTCGGACGTTTGATTGAGGAGCGTGTATTCATGCAGCACCTCCTCTCTCTCCCTCTCTCTCTCTCTCTCTCTCTCTCCCTTTCTATTGTGAACACCGCTGCACAAACCTGTCCAAAGTTAGAATACCTCCCCCACCGCACTGTCATTCTGTGGGAAATACTGGAAAGTAACATAGTAACATACTTACTTTTATCACCCAGTAATAAGTAAAGTAATAATATTACTTTTTTAAGGAGTAATAAGTAACTAGTAATATATTACAATTTCTGAGAAACTTGCCCAACACTGCTGGTAACCAGTAAACAGGTGCTGATTAGAGACAGAGTTACTGGGTTATTGCACAGGAATTGTTCCTGACACTGTGAGTCAGAAATCAGCTGTTCATCAGAGTGATGGCTTGTGGGAAGAAACTGTTCCTAAGTCTGTTGGTTTTGGCGTACAGTGCTCTGTAGCGCCTACCAGAGGGGAGGAGCTGGAACAGGTTGTGTCCGGGGTGAGATGGATCTGCAGTGATGTTTCCTCAGCAGCTCCTTAGGCAGGTTGAGCTTCCTGAGCTGGCGCAGGAAGTCCATCCTCTGCTGGGCCTTCTTGATGATTGTGTCAGTGTTGGGCTCCCACTTCAGGTCCTGGGATATAGTGGATCCCAGAAACCTGAAGGATTCCACAGCAGACACAGTTTAGTATGGTGATGGGGGCAGAGTGGGGGGGCTCCTCCTGAAGTCCACGGTCATCTCCACAGTTTTGAGCGTGTTAAGCTCCAGGTTGTTCTGGCCGCACCAGAGAGCCAGCTGATCAACCTCCCGTCTGTAGGCCGACTCGTCACCGTCCCGGATGAGGCAGATGACCGTTGTGTCTTCAGTGAACTTCAGGAGTTTGACAGATGGGTCTCCTGAGGTGCAGTCGTTGGTGTAGAGGGAGAAGAGCAGTGGGGAGAGCACACACCCCTGGGGGGCGCCAGTGCTGATAGTCCGGGAGCTGGATGTGATGTTTCCCAGCCTCACCTGCTGACTCAGATTTTTTTCTCCCTTGTTAAATAAATTGATTATAAGGACGCTTTTGCACATTCTCACAATAAAGCATGTGCTGCACTGTGTGCGCGTCCAGACGTTTGATCTGTATTAATAAACCTACGGACGCTTATTTTGATTTTTTGAAATCAGAGGTGTGTCAAGCAGCCCAGAGACTCTTCTGAATGTCCATCAGAACTTTACAAATTAAAAGCTCTCAGTAAACTCAACATGAAGCTTGCTGCAAAAACGTTCTCTCGCTTTTATTTTGGAGGCCGGATCACTTAAGAGGAAGAGATTCTGTAAGTAACTGTAGCTGTCATGAGTTCGGTTTTAGCACCAGCCGCTATCAGTTTATTTTTATGTATTTTTTCTGCTATCAAAGCAATCTGGCCACGGGCCTGATATTATTGCTGGGGGGTCGGTTCTGCCTATTGCTGACCACTGATGTAAAGTGGGTTAGAGTCCCTAAATGTAAAAAAAAAAAATAGAATAGAGTGGGAGATGGGGAATCAAAGGATTAAAATAAAATAAAATAAGCTAAGAGATCTGCCTGTTTTTTTTTTTCTAGATATCTCTACTATATATAATTTTTTAATATTTCCCTGTTGCTTGTATGTTTTATGTGAAGCATTTTGGTGTTGAAATGTGCTATACAAATAAACTTGCCTTGTCATTGTCCCTTTGTACCTGGAGAGAACTGTGAGGCCGAGACAGCCACACCCTCTGCCCCCCCGGCCTGTTACTGCGTCACACAGAAACCAGTCAAAGCTGTGGTGTTATTGAAGCAGGTGGAGCAGGTAAGAAGCACAGCAGTGTCTCGTTCTTTAAATGTGGGATGTTTTACTGTTGGATCCAGATTTATATGCAGATTCATCAACAGTCTGTCGATCAGTGCTGCTCCTCAGGTCACTGCTTTTGATTATTTTGCTTTGTTTTAACCTTGCAGTCAGTGTGACTTTGATGGTATCATAGTTTGACCTCTGACCTCTTGTTCAGAACAGTGCTCACAGACTGCTGCTGAGTTTATCATGTGTTGTTTTTTATCTTTCTTGAGGAATTTCAGTTACAGTCAGCTGTTTCTGTGAAAACATGATTTCAGAGAAAGTGAAAGCTGAAAGGACACACTGAGCATGCTCACTGCTGCTCTGCCACACAGCTTCTGCAAACAGCTAAGGACGACCGGATCATTTCACACACAGCAGACTTAATTGTAAATCTAGCAGTGAGATCAGGGCACCGTTTTGCTGTGGTTTCTGGGTTGAAATGTTGTGAAACAGGTTTTTGTGTATGTTTTCTCTCGTTTGGTGTGTGTGTCAGAGGTGTAAACCAACCAGCAGCGACATGTATAGAAACCCTGCCATATTAAAAGGCGGAGTCTGCATACTACAACAGGTGTTAACAGCACCCTTTCCATTTTGCTATGTTTCATCAGGACTGAACGCCGCCCTGCTGACACTTCCTGATCCTCTGTTTGCTGTGGGTGGATCCTTTCACCTGTCAATCACATACAGTTATATGTGCCTAGATTGACTTACACCATATGTCCACAAGTGTGACACATCCACCAACGTTTCCTTGAGCAAGACGCTTAACTTCTGTTCAATTTTATTTATATAGCGGCAAATCACAACAGTTATCTCAATGCGCTATTCATAAGAGCAGGTCTAGACCGTACTCTGTGATGTTATTTACAGAAGCCCAACGATTCCAACCATGAGCAAAAACTGTGCGACAGAGGGAAGAAACCTCGAGCAGAACCATGGCTCAAGCCTAGTTCAGATTATTTGCCCGATTTGCCGCTTGTGACCGTCAGGCTGTGATCAGGGGTAAATCAGCGGTTAAACTGCGGTCGCTCCCCGGCACATCTGACACATCGCTGACGTCTGCCAGATATCTAGCATGTTAAATATCTGGAGGACTCGGACGACTCGACATTCACATCCAGCCAATGAGAGCAGGCTGCTACTTTTTCACTGCAAAACCCATTTTACTCCCCTCCAGCTCAGACGATCCCTGCTACCTGCTGATCCAGTCTTTCACCCAGATTCTTTGTCCTTATAATTTCTATCTTTACAATATCAAACAGCAGCTGTTTCCTGTGCAGGTTCGCGTCATTTCACATTTCACGTGTGTTTTGACAAAACGTGGTTTGGAGAGCAGCGTCGGGTGACACAGCCGCTGTCAGCTCCTGTAGTGTGAACGCCACAACGACTTCAAGACTCCTGTCACAAGACGGCAAGTTGTGTAGTGTGTGAACGGCACGGCCATCGGCCGACGCTGACAGTCGTGTAGTTTGCACGAGCCTTCGGGTTGGGCGGCCATCTGCTGGTTTGGGAAGAGGGAGAGAGAGAATAACACAGAGAGTACACGGTGGTAGACTATCTGAGCACCGTGAGCGATCAGAAACTGAGGAGGACATTAACTATGAACAGACTCTGTGACTACAGCTTGGCCAAAGACACTGGCCGACACAGGCAGATCTGGCTGCCCAGAAAAGAGAGACTGTGTCAGCTCTGTCCACAGACACAGGTGGAGACGGGCTGTGTTAATGGTCACTGAAATGTATTTGAACTTTGCCCTCTGCACTACCTGCCTATCTCTCACCTCCACCCAACTCACCATGTCTATTGTGCTTCTAGCCCGAGATGAGGTTTTTTAATAATTTAACTATGTAGCCTTCTTAACCATGGTAGAAGCACAAAAGTCAAGGTCAACTTACCAAATCAACTAAATATAAACAATTCAGCAAAATCAGGCAGGCAAAACGCTCTTATTCTGAAATGCTTCATGTGGGAAATTCAACCCTGCAAGGACACGGGGCTGAAGACGGCTCAAAACCACGGCGCAGCCCAGTGGCGGCTGGTGAAAAATATTTTAGGTGGGGCTGTGCCATATCCAGTCAATTTCAGTAACTGTCCCAATACAATTTAACAAAAATTGCAGGATACCAGTGCTTTGTGAAATAGTCAGAAATGATTTAATGCCATTATAATATTATTATATTAATATATGAAAACATAAACAGTGTACATATACATAGAAAGTGGCATGACAAGAAAATACTCAAGTAAAGTACAAATAGGCTACCTCTAATTTGGACTTCATTACAGTAGGCCTACTTAAGTTACTGTCCACCACTGGAAATAACTGCAAATCCACTGCGGCGCATTATGGCTGCGCCACGGTTGCCAGAGCTAATCGCGGCCATTACAGTCAGTTGTTTTGAGTCCACCCTGTGGAGACTCCGGATCGTAAAACAACAAAACGCTAAAACGCTTCTGAGATAAGTGGACTCAAAACCGTGGCGCAGCTGTAACGTCCCATAGCAGTGGATTCCTGGCGTAACACTTCAGAGATGTCTATGAACTATACAGCTTACCTCTGTAGCCAACAGCTTCTTGTTTATGTACCACAGCACAAGCACCGACTGGCAGTGGGTGGAGATGTCAGTTGTTTCATCTGCCTGAATAGCGAGATATTCTGCATTTTTTACTTCCTCCAGAATGTAATCTTTAAGAACTGACAGCACACAGTCCAAAAGTTTGTCTTTGAGGTGCCTTTGAAAATGGTAGCTGTCTTAAGGTGCTCCTCCAACACGCTGTCCAGCGGTCAACAAAATCTACTGAAAACTCTTGTCTTGCATTCATGAAAACATCAATATCAAAAGGTTACAAATGGAAAAGTTGTTTTAAGTAATGTGTATTAACAGTTATTATAATGATAGAACCTGTTGATAGGAACCCAGTGTTCACATCAGTATTGTTTAGGTGTTGTGGAGTAAAAGGCAGAAGAGCCATGCTGGAAGCTGGGACTGGATTAATTGTTAAGATCTTATTTTATATTTCTTATTGAACTTGAATTTTTTGGGCGAATTCGAATCCACCAAACAAACTCAGAAGCAGCTCTCACTCCTATTTTACTGCCTTTTCCAAACTCAGGAGCTTCGCTCTAGTTACAGCCCAGCTACTTGTCTCCCACCACAGGTGCAGAGAATTCCAATTCCAGCGGTGTCAGTGACGCAGGTGTAACGTCTTTCAGTGGCACGAGGACACTCGTATCTGCGGATATCTGATAGCGGTGAGTCCCAAACTGGCTGTGTCACCTTCACTGGGAACTATGAGCCCCGTTAAACAGACTGTTTTCAGGCAAAGACAAAAGGGTTTAAACCCAACAGTGAGGAAACATCGCAGAATGAACTTCTTCCAAATTCTCAATCACTCTAAAATTCTCTGGGATCCACGCTCCAAACCTAAGGGATTATTAGGGGGACATTTAACATTCGTAGTATCGTCTCAAAGAGTAATCAGCTGCAACATTTATTGACTCTAATCTGGATTTTCTCTGTATTTAGGAAACATGGCTAAATAAATTCTCTCATTAGATTACATAGATCTTAGCCATGTTTTTGGCACAGTATGTTTAAGCTCTGCATCACGTGCATATAATACAAACAAGAAACTGACATTACACTTCACAACATGTAACAATACCAACAACAACAATACTTCTGGGTATTTTTAATGTTCCTGAGAACGTGTTCAGGAGGGTCAGAGACAGGTAAGGGGGTATTATTAATCTATGTTAAAGAGACAATTAGGTGCAGTCTCATTGAATGGATTGTATTAGATTGAATATTTCATTGTCTCCAGAAATGTCTTTTACTGTTGTCTGTCTGTATCGACCACCATCATCTAACAGCTTGTTTTATGAGCAGCTATACAAAATACTTATATATATATATATATATATATATATATATATATATATATATAAATGTAATTTATAATAATGTAATATTTTAATAGGGTGTCAGTTTTCTTTCTTTTTAGTTTTGTCCTTGCCCCTGCTTGTTAATCCATTCTGGCTGCTATTGTTATGGATGCCATCCCCTGTATGTATAACATATACCCCTGTAATAATAAATAACAACAACAACACAAAAAAAGGGAAAAAGGAAAAAAAATACAGAAAAGGGATTTAGTCAGTCTATTGGTGGTATGATAGTATGATAATAGTTATGTAATTGAGTGATAGAGTGTAAAATAAGAGAGAGAAAAAGGAAGAGAAAATAATGAACCAAGACAGAAAAACAGAATGGTAGATTGGAGGAAATTTTGTGTCTGAGAATATAGCCTACTAGTTAGATATCAAGTGTTGTATCGTTTTTTGGAAATATATGTTATAGCTGAGGTCTGTGGATATGCACGTGGCTTTAATCTTGGGGTAGATTTGAGTTAAAGAAAGTTACGAATGTATCCCAGGTTTCACTAAAAGCTGATATTTTTCTTGTTTTGTGAGCTGTTATTTTTTCTAGTGAAATATATTCTGTAAGTAAATTAATCCAATGAGTGATGTGACAAGAATTCTTGGATTTCCAGTTTTGAAAGATTACTTTCTTAGCAACAGCTAGAGAAACGAGTAGTGGGTTTTTATATTTATTTGGTAGGGTAATTTGTGTAATATCTCCCAGAAGGTAGGGTAATTTTGTGTAATATCTCCCAGAAGGCATAATGATGGGGAAAAATGGGATTCTGCACCCCAAGATCTGGGAAAGTTTGTTAGTTACTGTTGTCCAAAAGAGTGAACTGGTTGGCAGGTCCAAGTGGCATGGAGATAATTGTCTGTTATACCTAAGGTGCATTGAGAACAGATATCGGTATCGACCAGTCCCATTTTAAACATTTTGTATTGAGTGAGGTGTATTCTGTTGATATTTTTGTATTGTATGCAATGAGTTGCAAGTTTGTGTTGGTGGTCATGGAGAAAATAGTATTGCAGATTTGTGTCCAGACCTCAGGGTTGAGAGAGACTACTAAATCGTTATCCCATTCTGAAATTGGAAGTGTTATGGAGGCATCTGTACAGAATATGAGCTTGTAGAGTTTGGAGACAATATTTTTTGTATCTGTGATTTTTAATATCTCATCACTTAATTTGGGCGGTTGTAATGTGTTATTGGTAATGTTAATTCTGGATTCAATGAAGGATTTTAATTGTTGATAGTTGAGGAATTTGTCTCTCCCAACGTGCATTGAATAATATAAGTTATTTTCAACTAGGTGATTCTGCTGCGTTGCCATGATGGAAAATACACAGGGGTGTTATACAGTTTTAAATCCAGATTATGCCAAATTGGGGTATATTCGCAAGGTGTTATCAGCGATCTGGTAATTTAATTAGTTTTCCACCAGGCTGTGAGAGTTGATGAGATTGTGATATTTGTACAGTACTTCAGTTTTTTGATTGATGGTGGTAAGATGGCAAGGTCTGCAATTGATGTGGGTGTACATTGATTTTGTTCTAGTTCTAGCCATGTGTTATTTAACTTGCTAAGCTTTTGGGTCCATTTGAATAAATATTGTAATTGATTTGCCAGAAAGTAGTAAAGAAAATGTAGTGCTTCCAAGCCTCCTTGTGATTTCCTGTTTTGTAATGTTGAAAGTGAGATTCTTGGTTTTTTGTTTTTCCAGTAGTTAGTGAGTCTAGTCTTTTGAACCATTTGTCGGTGGGGGTGATGGGAAGCACTGAGAACAGGTAATTAATCTGAGGTAATGTTTTCATTTTAACCGATGCGATTCGTCCAATGAGAGTGAGTGGAAGTTTGGTCCATCGTTTAAAGTCATCTTCTATTTTTGTAACAGAGGGGTGTAGTTGAGGTGGAAGAGGTCTGACATCTCAAATATTAATGCCTAAATATTTTATGTTGCCAGTTTAGAGAGGGAAGGAGGAGTCTTGAGCTGCAGAATCCCACGCATCTATAGATAGCGGTAGTATAGTTTATTTCTTCCAGTTTATTATTATTAATATTATTATTTTATTAATAATGTTAAATGTGTCCTGTAGTGACACAGATGGATTTTTTAGATACAATAATAAATCATCTGCATAAAGACTAATTTTATGTTGTGAGCTGGCATCCTGGATTCCATCAATTTTATTGTTTTGTTGTATTGCTGCTGCGAGTGGTTCAATGAAAATGGCAAATAGGGATTGTGAGAGTGGGCATCCTTGTCTGGTTCCCTGATGAAGTGTGAAGCTAGGTGAGGTGATCTGGTTTGTAATCACTGAAGCTCTAGGTGACGTGTACAGTGTTCTTATCCAATGGATGAACAACTCTCCAAAACCAAAGTTGCATAGGGTGCTAAATAGAAAAGTCCAGTTTACTTTGTCAAAAGCTTTTTCGGCATCTAATGATACGTTTATGGTTTTGTCTTGTCTTTGCTGTGATATATCGATTAAGTTAAATAGTCTACGGAGGTTATCTGAAGCATTTCTGTATTTGATGAAGCCTGTCTGATCTGGGTGCATTAGTTTTTGCTTAACTGTCTCTATTCTTGTTGCTAGGGATTTTGTAATAATTTTAATTTTAGATCAGTATTAATAAGCGAGAGAGGGCGGTAGCTAGAGGGGTGAGTTGGATCTTTGTTAGGTTTCAATAAAAGTGTTATGACGGCAGTATTCATTAAATTCAATTCAATTTTATTTATATAGCGCCAAATCACAACAACAGTTATCTCACAGCGCTTTTCATAAAAGAGCAGGTCTAGACCGAACTCTGTGATGATATTTACAGAAGCCCAACAGTTCCCACCAAGAGCAAGCACTAGGCGACAGAGGCAAGGAAAAACTTCCTTTTAAGAGGCAGAAACCTCGAGCAGAACCATGGCTCAGGGTGGGCGGCCATCTGCCTCGACCGGTTGGGGTGAGAGAGAGAGAGAGAGAGAGAGAGAGAGAGAGAGAGATGTAAGGAGAGAGAGAGGGGAGGGAGGCAGCCTACACAATATACACACAGAGGTACACACAGTGAAGGTAATGTTGCTATAGACTAAATGAAAAATGGTACAGATATTTATAATAGTGTTAATGGTAACCATCGTAATGTTAATGATTATAATAACAATAATAACAATAAGACTAGCAACAATAGTCGTTGCAGTAGAGGGTGTCGAGCAGGAACACGGGGGCAGCAGGTGACCCGCAACCACAGATCCAGACTCCACAGCTCCAGAGCCAGAAAACCTGCAGGAAGTGATAGGAGGAGAGAGGAGAGAGACGAGAAAGCACAAGACTACCAGAAAGGGGAGAAGTTGTGTTAGTAACATGCAATAATGGGATAAGGTTGCATACAGAGGGAGAGAAAGTAGAGGAGAGAGGAGCTCAGTGCATCATGGGAAATCCCCCGGCAGTCTAGGCCTATAGCAGCATAACTAAGGGATGGTTCAGGACTACCTGAGCCAGCCCTAACTATAAGCTTTATCAAAGAGGAAAGTCTTAAGCCTACTCTTAAATGTGGAGATGGTGTCTGCCTCCTGAACCCAAACTGGAACCTGGTTCCACAGGAGAGGAGCTTGATAGCTGAACGCTCTGGCTCCTAGTCTACTTTTGGAGACTCTAGGAACCACAAGTAACCCTGCATTCTGGGAGCGCAGTGCTCTGGTGGGGTAGTAAGGTACTATGAGCTCTTTAAGATAAGATGGTGCCTGACCATTAAGAGCTTTGTAGGTAAGAAGAATGATTTTAAATTCTATTCTGGATTTTACTGGAAGCCAATGCAAAGAAGCTAAAACAGGAGAAATGTGATCTCTTTTCCTGGTTCCTGTCAGAACACGTGCTGCAGCATTCTGGATCAGCTGAAGAGTCTTAATGGACTTTTTCGAGCAGCCTGATAATAAGGAATTGCAGTAATCCAGCCTAGAAGTAACAAATGCATGGACTAGTTTTTCTGCATCATTTTTAGACAGGATGTTCCTGATTTTCGCAATATTATGTAGGTGAAAAAAGGCGGTCCTTGAAATTTGCTTAATGTGAGACTTAAACGACATGTCCTGATCAAAGATAACTCCAAGATTCCTCACAGTGGTGCTGGAGGCCAAGGCGATGCCATCCAGGGAAACTATATCTTTAGATAATGCGTCACGGAGGTGCTTAGGCCCCAGAGCAATAACTTCAGTTTTATCTGAGTTTAACATGAGAAAATTACAGGTCATCCAGGTTTTAACATCCTGAAGGCACATTTGAAGTTTAGCTAACTGATGAGTTTCATCTGGCTTGATCGATAGATATAACTGAGTATCATC